AATATTTATTTTAGATATTTTTGTCATAACTTCCTTTTAAGCCTCTAATTTTTCTGCGTAGTCTGTGACTCTTTCTGCCTTTGCATGTCCTGTTCTTCCTCGAAAGGTATACGGCTCATTAGTCGGGAATGTTCTGTCTTGTTTTATACACAGGAAGTTGTTGCATAATGAAAAAGTCACAGACAGTGAGTGGGTAATGGTGTAATTGCTTGAATGATCATCAGTCATAATCGTCGATATTTCATAATAATGGGAGCTCGTTTGAGCCCAACCCAAGTTTCTTGTTTATATCAGGATATTTTTTCAGTGCTAATATTAGTGTATTCCTGAAAACTGAGCAAACACTCTGGTGTAGTAGGTCACAGTGGACGAGCTGAACCGGAGAAAGTAAAGTCACCTCACTCCCAGATCGCACCACTTCACATATGAGCAGTCATTTTCACGCTTATGCTCACCACCTGAACCTGAGTGGCAGGTTTAGTCTCCAGGTGACCTGACAACAATTCTTCATTACACAGTGACTCATTGTGCTGTGATTACAGAGTTACTGAGCTTAAGTATTATTGCAAAGGCGTTGGAAATAATTGGGATTAATTTAAAAGCTGATTGACTTGACTGAGACTTACTCCATTCATTGCAACACGTTCATCAGGACATTTGGGTTGGGCAGCTTCTGAATTCAAGATGTTCGAACAAAGGTAGAATTTGTAAAACACTAAAACGTGAAATGAGGTCACAACATGCAGCTGCGTCTGCGATTTCACCTTAATCGGTGCCCGTAACAATGATGTGTTTACTTACCCCAAAGCAAAGAGAAGTTGAGACATGCCAGGTCAATTCTGATTGGCTAGCTGTGAGTCAAACATTTCTGAAATTCCTGTGGAGAAAGAGTGTGTAAGTACTAATCACCTTGAGGGGATCTATACATGGGGACATGCATTAATTTTTTTTAAGCCCCCTCAAAGTAAATAATCAGTTTAGGGCAGGTTTATATTTGACGTTGGTTAAAAGTATGGTTATGGTTAAAGCACAAGTCAAGAAAATGCAAGTCATTAGAATATTTTTTTAAATAACTGCACGTATGTGTCTGTGTGAGTGGGTTAGGAGAGGTGGATGGGAGGCTTCTGATGTCATTTAACCTCGTCGTCATACAGGAAACATGCCTCCGCCCGTACAGACTCTGAGTTACAAAGGGAATGTGCCTCACCATCTGTGCATGTGTGTCTGTGTGTGCGTATCACCAGAGTCCAGGTGGTGTCCTGTCTAGCAGAGTCATGAGCTTTGTTTCCACCCCAAGGCCACAGGAGTTCACTTACGCACATGTACAAAGAGTACCTCTCGTGCTGAAGGGACTGGAGGTTCAGTTGTGCAATAGCTTAGATGCCGTTTTGTTTAGCTTTGCATTAGGAACTCCAGTGCAGAAAGTCCTGCCTTTTGGCTGCTTTATCCTCTCCGGTATTCTGTTCTCCATCAAAAATAATGATAAAAAACATTCATTTTCATTGGCTGCTCTGCTTGCATTTGCAAAATATCTTCATGTTTAGTCTGGGCCCCTCCGCAGCATTTCTGCGGCTAAGCTGCAGAAAGAGAAAGCATACTTGGAACATCGGGAGAAAATATTGAAGACACTAAATTATACTCTTGAATTACTGGCTGAGCAGTCGGGTGGAGCAGGGCTACATTCACACAGTATGTGTAAGAGACTTAAAGCTGCTGCTTCTCAAACCAGAGCAACTTCTGCTGCTGCTGTATTTACACGCATAGATGTCCAGAGTCAGTGCTTTCAGGTTTTATGTGATTATCTTGGTAACTGTTGTAATTAAGACATGAATTTAAAGGCTCTTTATTAAGAGAAAATATTCTCATATGTTGAAAAACCCTGACATAGAATGTCTGTAGAGAGTCATTTAATCTCTATAGATGATTGTCCTCCAGAATTCAGTTTTTTAAAGACAGCAAACACGCAGCAGAGATTTGAAATCCAGCTGGCTTCACATAAATCTGGTTTAGTCTTTGTCCTGAGACCTAAACTAATGTCAAGAAAAGCTACTCTGCTCTTTCACTAATACAAGCAAACTGACCGCTTCACAACAAGATGACATGAAGGTGAAGCACACGACAGGTAATCTAGACAAGATGAATTTTAGACAGGAGAACACACAACTTTAAACTGCTCCAGCTGTGTTCACTTCTTAGCTGCAGTCACCTTGAAATGTTGCCAGATGCTAAGCAACAACTTATAATGAACAAAATTGTTCTGTACAGATGAGCTGCTGGATGAGAATTTGTCAAGTTGGTCACACAGACCTCTAGTACAATTTGTCTCTGAGTGGATCTGTATATCAACATTATTCAGTTCCAGCCAGTTGGACCGGCTTCAGGTGTTCAGTTCAGACTCTAATGTTTAGTTAAATTTTAAGTTTTTTACCACAAATTATCCATAAAATATTGACATAACCACTGTGACTAATGGGGACTGTTTTTAACCCTGGAGATTGGGCTTTTTGTATGGTGGCCCTGAGAGGCCAAACAGACTGAAACTGAAAACACCAGAAAAACGCTGCAAAAGGACACAAAACACAACGGAAATTGGAAAAATGAAAACGAAAACAGAAATAGGAATAACAGATTTACAAAAGCAAAAGTGTTTCTGGGGAGACAATAACCCGACGGACCAGTTGCAGGAACCAAAATATGCTAGGTTAGCGTGTAGGCTAATAGTTAGGCTAACACACTTCTCATCTTTTCTTTCCTCACAAAACCGATAGATCCTCCACTTCTTTTAAGTGTCTCCCAGTGCAATTCCTATCTCTCTATTATTAGAGTCTTGACCTTTCGTTATAAACCACACTGAAGCAACTTTTGGGATGATTTGGTTCTATATAGATCAGATAAAATGTAACTAAACTGAAAGGAAATTTAACTTTGAATTTGTTTTTAGCCTTGAAGGTTGCAGCTTGGTATTTACTGATTTATTGATCAACCTTAGATCCACTTCATAGAAAGACCCACTAATGCTGGCTAGCAGCTAACAGTGGCAAAAACAGCAGAGCTTAGCAACAGAAAAAATCAGGATATCCACAACATCAAGTGAGCTTCACAGACTCATCGGCTCATATCAGACTCCTTTCAAGTCTCCAGAGAAAATAGACTTGGAAACCTGCTGAGATGAACAAGGAAATGACTCACTATAGATGAAAGGTGGCCAGAGTTGTTTGTCTTACAGTGGCCACCATAGATAGGATTTTGCACTTTAATTGAGAGGAGGCAGAAAACAGAATTCAGTTGACTGCAACATCTGCGATCTGCTGATGTCTAGCTGTGATATTTTACAAAGAGCACCTTTAAAATCAAACAAATCTGTCCCTCAAATCTTTCCAGTTCTTTGTACATTCCCTCATGTCCATTCTGATGAAATAAAGGCATGAATAACAATTTCCAATTAACAGCGTGGTACGAAGGAACTCACCTTGGCAACTTGAAAGTGATAAAAGCAAGAGCGAGTCAACATGAGCCTCCAAGGGGAAGGCTGACTCAAATATTAAGCCATGACAGATAGAAGATTTTGCAAAAGTGTCAAGGAGGACCTAGAGTTTCCATTACCACAAATCTGTTGAGGGCACAAGCACTACCTTCTCTTTATTAAGTTGGAGAAAATTGTCAAATACCTGATTTTTGATACAGTCCAAGCGCCTATGGAAGATCTATAACTTAGAAAACAAAATATATAGTGCTGAAAAGAGAGCAGATGTAACAGAAACAGTAAAGGCCCCAAAAGAGGACCCGAACTTACAAGCACCAACAGAAAAGGATCGTTCAGACAAATATGAAGAAAATAATTAAAAACAAATCTACAGAATACATGAAAATAAAGCTTTTATTGGTGTAACGAGTCTTAGTGAACCACTAGTTTAACATTAGCCAACTAGTCCTGGGTAATATATGCGCATGTGTCCATGCAAATACAAACTCATGCAGGTCTTTTCTCTTCAGGGCCATCCATCTTTCTGCATATTTCTCTCTCTGTGTAGGCGAATGTGGACACTGGTCTCCATTCTTTGCACAATCTCTCAGTCTGATTTCGTCCCTCAGTCATCAAACTGAAGTTTCAGGTACACAGAATGCAGAGCTCAAGTTTCAGAAAGCATGCCGTAATCCATCGTCACGCAGATGATCACACTTGAAGATGTGCAGCAGGGAAATTATCATAGAGTTATAAAACCAAAACAGCTTTATGATACTCTGACAAAGGCAACATGTGAAGGCTGAATCATCAAACTATCCTGTACTACTGTGGCACAAACTAATCTCCGAAAAAAGTATCTTTGCATTTGTCTTCCATACGAGTTTCCTTTATGTCTCCTTTCAGACCACATCAATGCCTCTATTCTGTTTTAGTCTTCTTGACACAGTAATGAATTGGGAAAAGCCAACACCCTCACTTTAAATGGCTTAAAAGTCACAATAGAGCGATCACATCATGGAAACTTCCTTTCTATAGTCTCCTTTCTACCTGTCTCCTTCTACTTTGCCCGTCTATCTCTGTTTGTCTTATATACGCACTCTCTAAGGCTTTGAGTGCGAGGTGCTGTGTGCCAGCAGGACTTGTAGCCATTGACAGGGGGTTAAATGTGGAAACAGGACCTGCGCGTCTGATCTCCGTCTCTTTGTGAAAACATAGCAACCCAAATAAGGAGATCGGCCACGGCTGAAGAGCGGAGCAGCCAGACCATTCCTGAGAGCGAGCTTGGATGGGTGGTTTGATAGGGTGGAGTGTGTGTCTAAGAGAGTGATAGCCAGGGAGTAAGGATGGAGTGGATGCAGAGTGGTGAGTGGCTGAATGAAGAGAGGAATGGACAGAGTGAGAGGATGGAGAAAAGTGATGGATGTAGGGAGGGAGGGGGAAACATGGGAGGAGGATGGCGATAGGGGTGGTGAGTGGAGACTGGAGGCAGGTTCTGTTGAAGTTTAAATAACCATCCTTATAGGGCTTGACTCTCCATCTCTGTTCACAGCTCTTTCTGTCTCCTTCCATCTGTCTCTCCTTTTCTGTCTCTGCCTCTCTTGCTTTCTCGCTTTCTCTGCAGCTTTGTTCAGCTCGAGCTTTCTCCTGCACTGCAAGCAAGGCTGAATCTCCTACATCTCAGCGAGAGCCCAAACTTTTAACGGTGCGTTTGAACATCTCAGAGGGAGAAAATCCAGCCGAGCAGCCACCATGGAGGCCATCAAGAAGAAGATGCAAATGCTGAAACTGGACAAGGAGAATGCCATCGACCGGGCCGAGCAGGCAGAGACAGACAAGAAGGCGGCAGAGGACAAATGCAAGCAGGTGGGAAAGACAGAGCAAGAAAGAGATGGATCACAAGGGATTCCAGCGCATATAGAAAACATTTTAGATATTTTTTAGGGATATTGATCTGATTTTGGAAATACGCAACTAGAACTGTATGTTAAGCAAAAATATATAGATTAAGTTTATAGTTTACTTATAGATTTACTGATTAGTTGTAACTTCTGAAGCGAAATTTATTTCAAAACAGTTTTTCATGAAAAAAGAAATGTCCACACCCAGTAAATGTGCTTTTCTCTGAAGACTTTTCTTTCTATCCAGTTCTTAAACTAATCACGACATTCAAACCATACCAGACATACCTACAAGGACACGGTGTGTAAACAGTTCTTACATTTATTTATTCTACATTCTTCACAGTTAATTTACTGGTTTACTTTGCTGGGAAATATTTTAGGAAGTAGTTTAACTTTTTTTTTCTTTTTCTTTTCTGAGGAATGCCTCATAGTACAGATGATCCAACCACAGGTCCAGGAAAGTTTGGAAGTTATTAAATTGCTGACTTTGGATCAAATGAGGTGCAAATCGTTGCTTTCAGTTTCCACTCGTTACTTTTTTATTCTTTAAACAAAGCTGTACTAAAGGAGATCTGCAGGAAAACAGTAGTTTGAACTTCTCTTCACTTGAACTGGTCAGCACCACCGGTACACAAGTGATGAGACCACCCAGGACCAGGATTTGGTCTTTGGGGAAAGAAAACAAGTCCACCTCAACCGCTTTATAGAGAGGACCTATTTAAAAGAACAGCCATTATGGAGACTGTGTGACCCTTAATAAGCATGCAAATGGCCATGCATAGACACACAAATGGAGGATTAGACACACGTGCATGCGTGCACACACACACACACACACACAACTTGTGGTTCCAGGCGTCTGTGTGTTCTCGCTGATAACAGCTGTATTTTTAGAGCCCAGAAGAGAACGGCAGTGTGGGACACAGCAGGGTTATCAGATGTACTTCATGGACTCAGAGGGGAACACTGATTAGGGGGAACAGCTAACCCTGAGAGAGAGAGAGAGAGAGAGAAGAAAAGGGAGAAAGAGAAAAGAGATTAGACCGCATACCAGAGTTCTTGTCATGAGAGGGTGATGCCATTTAAATAAATGTTCTCCAAACATCATAAACACAGTTCTGCTTGCAAATTAGCCACCGCAGCTTTATCAGTTGCTTAACTTGGCTTCCTTTCAACCATCATTTTGCTCAGCAGTTGTTAACTCGATAAAAGTTTCATCATTATATCTTTGCAAAGGTTCATTCATCTGTGAGAATAAATATGATGGTCTCAGTGCTCAGATGAATGCAAATAGAATAGAATAGAATAGAATAGAATAGAAGAACCGACCATACCAGACTCCATCAGAATAGAATAGAAAAGACTACACCA